TGTATTCCCCTTCCCCGATTTTATGTGAGCCGCCCTGAGTCCCCTCAGGGAAAAGGGCGGCCTACAAATATTAATAAAATCTCCAAAAATAAAAAAAATCTAAATTAAGAGACAAACATGAAATGTTAAACAGTAGGATGGGGAATTTGAGCAACATATTCAGCAATGTCTTTGGTGCGTATGCTCTCAGTGCACATAAATAAAAACAAAATACATTCATATTGTAAGAGATTAGAAATTAAGGGCAATTAGTGATATTGTTTTTGTATTAAGAAAATAAGCTTAAGACATAAAAAGTATGGAAAGAGAATAATATGACTGAAATTGGAATCAGAGATATGATGTAAAATGGATTATGCATATGAAAGGATGTTCAAGAAAAGATCCAGGCAACACTTGGTTAATAAAATATGTATGTTGGGGGCACGGGCGGACACGACAAAAGAAATTGCAATAAAAATTGATTTTAAAAATAAAAATAAATTACATTAAAAATAAAATAAAACCTTGAGCATCAGAATCGAACTCCAGGCTGTGGGCAGAGCCTGCCTGCACTATTGCATTCTAATCACTTTTTTCACCAGAGCTTTTAGGGTTTTGTCTCCAGAAAACATTGGATATTTCTTAATCCCATGTGAACAAAATTGGTTTTCAATTCCAAATGTGCAGACCCATTTGGAGAGTAGATTTAGAACTTCTGTTTAAGGAGAGGGAGGGACTATGCTGGTGGTGATGGAAATGGTTTCACCACATCAGGAGATAAAGGTAGCAGTCCACCCTCTGATGGAGGATGTGTGTGAAAGAGGGATTGGCTTCTAGAGAATGAGGAAGACCCACCGAAGACATCTCCGTTGCTTCTCACCTTTAACTGGTGGAAGGGTTGGCACTGCACAAATGCCAAAGATAAAGAAGAAGCAAAGGCTTTTCCAAATCCTGCTGGGACAACATGATAATGCCGCTGTCAAAACAGGCTGTTTCTTCAACACTGCCTTATTTATGCTTATTTGAAATCAGTTTCTTACAGGTCAGTTTTTAAGTCAGCTAAGCACTCAAAGCAAGTTATTTAAGAAAAATTGCTTTTCTGCAAACGGGGGCTTTTCTCCTCCACCTTTTTCTCCGAATTAAATTCCCACTGATTGTGGTGAGCCATGTGAATTCCAGCAGCAACCGCTTTGCAGGCCTGCAAACAGAAATTCATTAACATTAACCTTTTCCTTTGGATGAAAAATGTCTTGATTTGTCTAAACAATGTGGCCAGAGCCCTGCCTCTCCCCCACCCCAGCAGTTTAGGGAAAAACATCTCTAGATAGAATAGAATAGAATAGAATAGAATAGAATAGAATAGAATAGAATAGAATAGAATAGAATAGAATAGAATAGAA